GTCCGCGATCAAACGACCACCCCTCATCACTGTCAAACGCTCCCTAAAACACTTTAGCGAGCAGGCCTTTCTAATTGACCTGGCCCGGGTATCTGTCGTAGAAATATTTGACTCAAAAGTAGTCAACTCAAAAATATCTCTCAAGAGACTGGAGCTTGTAAATCCAAAAATTATACTTTATTATTTGCATAACAAAGCCGAGCTTGCTCCATGGAACAACTGTCTTTCTTTGGCTTAGAGCTCCCTTTTATACACACAAATGCATAATCATGTTTACATAGCATACAATTACTCCCCTTATGGCAAATGATTAACTTATTTTAGTGCCACTCTACCCTTATCTTTCAACGTTCAGATGTCACATGTGGTTTATTCCAAAAGGCCATGGGCGCTTTTCCATATGAGGCCTCTTCCACTTATCTCATTATATTGGTGGCAGACCCTTTCTCAAAAATAATACACATACATACATTAAGGCATGGTTACACACTGTATTGGCTATATTCCTTATTTAAACATACATCTGGATTATAGAATGTCAATCATGTTTACTATATTTAACTTTTGACATTTCCCAACATTTGCCTTAATGATACATAAAATATTACCATATAATCTGGATGTATATTGACCTCATTCCGTCAGTAGAGGATGCCTGGTTGTTCTTTGAAAGTGCTTTCCTCTCAATCTTAAATAAGCATGCCCCATTCAAAAAATTCAGAACTAAGAACAGATATAGCACCTGGTTCTCCTCAGACTTGACTGCCCTTGACCAGCACAAAAACATCCTGTGGCGTACTGCATTAGCATCGAACAGCCCCCGTGATATGCAACCTTTTAAGGAAGTCAGGAACCAATATACACAATCAGTTAGGAAAGCAAAGGCTAGCTTTTTCAAACAGAAATTTGCATCCTGTAGCACTAACTCCAAAAAGTTTTGGGACACTGTAAAGTCCATGGAAAATAAGAGCACCTACTCCCAACTGCCCACTGCACTGAGGCTAGGAAACACAGTCACCACCGATAAATCTACAATAAATGAGAATTTCAACAAGCATTTTGCTACGCCTGGCTATGCTTTCCACCTGGCTACCACTACCCCGGCCACCAGCTCTGCACCCTCCACTGCAACTTGCCCATGCCCCCTCCGCTTCTCCTTCACACAAATTCAGACAGCTGATGTTCTGAAAGAGCTGAAAAATCTGGACCCCTACAAATCAGCTGGGCTAGACAATCTGGACCCTTTCTTTCTAAAATTAGCCGCTGAAATTGTCGCAACCCCTATTACTAGCCTGTTCAACCTCTCTTTCGTAACGTCTGAGATCCCCAGAGATTGGAAAGCTGCCGCGGTCATCCCCCTCTTCAAAGGGGGTGACACTCTAGATCCAAACTGTTATAGACCTATATCCATCCTGCCCTGCCTTTCGAAAGTATTTGAAAGCCAAGTTAACAAACAGATCACTGACCATTTCGAATCCCACCGTACCTTCTCCGCTATGCAATCCGGTTTCCGAGCTGGTCATGGGTGCACCTCAGCCACGCTCAAGGTCCTAAACGATATTATAAACGCGATCGATAAAAGGCAGTACTGCGCAGCTGTCTTCATCGACCTGGCCAAGGCTTTCGACTCTGTCAACCACCGCATTCTTATTGGCAGACTAAACAGCCTTGGTTTCTCTAATGACTGCCTCGCCTGGTTCACCAACTACTTCTCAGATAGAGTTCAATGTGTCAAATCGGAGGGCCTGTTGTCTGGACCTCTGGCCGTCTCTATGGGGGTGCCACAGGGTTCAATTCTAGGGCCGACTCTATTCTCTGTGTATATCAATGATGTCGCTCTTGCTGCTGGTGACGCTCGGATCCACCTCTGTGCGGACGACACCATTTTGTATACATCTGGCCCTTCATTGGACACTGTGTTAACAAACCTCCAAACGAGCTTCAACGCCATACAACACTCCTTCCGTAGCCTCCAACTGCTCTTAAACACTAGTAAAACTAAATGCATGCTATTCAACCGAACGCTGCTTGCACCCGCCCACCCGACTAGAATCACTACTCTCGGCGGGTCTGACCTAGAGTATGTGGACAACTACAAATACCTAGGTGTCTGGTTAGACTGTAAACTCTCCTTCCAGACTCACATTAAGCATCTCAAATCAAAAGTTAGATCTAGAATTGGCTTCCTATTTCGCAACAATGCCTCCTTCACTCATGCTGCCAAACATGCCCTCGTAAAACTGACTATCCTACCGATCCTTGACTTCGGCGATGTCATTTACAAAATAGCCTCCAACACTCTACTCAACAAATTGGATGTAGTCTATCACAGTGCCATCCGTTTTGTCACCAAAGCCCCATATACTACCCACCATTGTGACCTGTACGCTCTTGTTGGCTGGCCCTCACTACATATTCGTCACCAACCCACTGGCTCCAGGTCATCTATAAATCACTGCTAGGCAAATCCCTGTCTTATCTTAGCTCACTGGTCACCATAGCAACACCCACCCGTAGTCTGCGCTCCAGCAGGTATATCTCACTGGTCATCCCCAAAGGAACGAACTGCCCAAAATCTCTGAAGCTTGCGAGACTCTTATCTCCCTCACTTAATTTACAGCGCCAGTTGTCAGAGCAGCCTTACCATCACTGCACCTGTACACAGCCTTTCTGAAAATAGCCCCCCAACTATCCATCCATCCCCATAGGTGTTATTTATTTTGCTAATTTGCACCCCAGTATCTCTATTTGCCACATCATCTTTTGCCACATCTATCATTCCGTGTTAATACGAAATTGTACTATTTTGCACTATGGCCTATTTATTTGCCTTACCTCCATAACTATACATTAGCACACACTGTATACAGTGGGGAGAACAAGTATTTGATACACTGCCGATTTTGCAGGTTTTCCTACTTACAAAGCATGTAGAGGTCAGTAATTTTTATCATAGGTACACTTCAAACTGTGAGAGACGGAATCTAAAACAAAAATCCAGAAAATCACATTGTATGATTTTTAAGTAATTCATTTGCATTTTATTACATGACATAAGTATTTGATCACCTACAAACCAGTAAGAATTCCGGCTCTCACAGACCTGTTAGTTTTTCTTTAAGAAGCCCTCCTGTTTCTCCACTCATTACCTGTATTAACTGCACCTGTTTGAACTCGTTACCTGTATAAAAGACACCTGTCCACACACTCAATCAAACAGACTCCAACCTCTCCACAATGGCCAAGACCAGAGAGCTGTGTAAGGACATCAGGGATAAACTTGTAGACCTGCACAAGGCTGGGATGGGCTACAGGACAATAGGCAAGCAGCTTGGTGAGAAGGCAACAACTGTTGGCGCAATTATTAGAAAATGGAAGAAGTTCAAGATGACGGTCAATCACCCTCGGTCTGGGGCTCCATGCAAGATCTCACCTCGTGGGGCATCAATGATCATGAGGAAGGTGAGGGATCAGCCCAGAACTACACGGCAGGACCTGGTCAATGACCTGAAGAGAGCTGGGACCACAGTCTCAAAGAAAACCATTAGTAACACACTACGCCGTCATGGATTAAAATCCTGCAGCGCACGCAAGGTCCCCCTGCTCAAGCCAGCGCATGTCCAGGCCCGTCTGAAGTTTGCCTGGATGATCCAGAGGAGGAATGAGAGAAGGTCATGTGGTCTGATGAGATAAAAATAGAGCTTTTTGGTCTAAACTCCACTCGCCGTGTTTGGAGGAAGAAGAAGGATGAGTACAACCCCAAGAACACCATCCCAACCGTGAAGCATGGAGGTGGAAACATCATTCTTTGGGGATGCTTTTCTGCAAAGGGCACAGGACGACTGCACCGCATTGAGGGGAGGATGGATGGGGCCATGTATCGAGAGATCTTGGCCCCATCCCTCAGTAAGAGCATTGAAGATGGGTCGTGGCTGGGTCTTCCAGCATGACAATGACCCGAAACACACAGCCAGGGCAACTAAGGAGTGGCTCCGTAAGAAGTATCTCAAGGTCCTGGAGTGGCCTAGCCAGTCTCCAGACCTGAACCCAATAGAAAATCTTTGGAGGGAGCTGAAAGTCCGTATTGCCAAGTGACAGCCCCGACACCTGAAGGATCTGGAGAAGGTCTGTATGGAGGAGTGGGCAAAAATCCCTGCTGCAGTGTGTGCAAACCTGGTCAAGACCTACAGGAAACGTATGATCTCTGTAATTGCAAACAAAGGTTTCTGTACCAAATATTAAGTTATGCTTTTCTGATGTATCAAATACTTATGTCATGCAATAAAATGCAAATTAATTACTTAAAAATCATACAATGTGATTTTCTGGATTTTTGTTTTAGATTCCGTCTCTCACAGTTGAAGTGTACCTATGATAAAATTACAGGGAAATGTCATTACCATTGAAAAAATTACAGACTACATGCTTTGTAAGTAGGAAAACCTGCAAAATCAGCAGTGTATCAAATACTTGTTCTCCCCACTGTATTTATTTTCTGTTGTATTTTTGACTTTATGTTTTGTTTACCCCATATGTAACTCTGTGTTGTTGTTTTTAACGCACTGCTTTGCTTTATCTTGGCCAGGTCGCAGTTGTAAATGAGAACTTGTTCTCAACTGGCTTACCTGGTTAAATAATGGTGAAAATAAAATAAAGAACAATTTTTTTAATTTTTATAGTCACTTATAATAAAATGCATATACAGTTCATTAAATACTCTACAAACACTGCGCTATTGTAACACTGCCTCAAATTTGCAAAACATTCAGATTTCTATACAGTGAATCTAATCACCACCAAGGCTTTTTGCTATTCACAGTGCATAGTATTATGCAATGGCTAGGACAAACTGCATGGCGTATTCACAAAACCTCATCACCATTTACCATAATTCCCCACACATCCTCTTTGAGGTGGTCAATTCAGAATTTAGAATAACCCCTCATTTTGATTACATAAATGATCCCTATTTTTTCTGACTTGTTGTACCTCTATCAGCATCAATCTGAGTGTACGCACAGCGCCACGTTCTTGTGCCTCTCCCAGTAGTGGCAGTCCTCAGGGAAGCTCCAAGTGGCCTTCTTCTTCTTGTGGTGACTGACAGCATGCACCACGAACCCCGCCAGCTGCTTCTCCAGGACCTCCACCACGGCCTGGGCCCTTCTTCCCCGGTCCCCTCCATCAGTTGCCGGATGCAGTCGAGGGGCACCGGTTGGGGACTGGTGCTGTAGGAAACCACCAGGTTGGTATCGTTCACCTGCAGCCCCTCAAACTATTTCTGACCGGCATGTGTTGGAAGTGGTCCCCGGCACGCCAGTTCCGATAGCTGCTGCCAGAGTGGTTAACCACTCGGACCGACCAGCTCACCCAGTCGTACTTCCTGGTGAGGAATTCCTGTACTTCCTGAGCCGTGTCCTGAAGATTGCGTTCCTCTTTTTCCTGGAAAAGATGCTGGACGTCAAGGCAGGCCTGTTCAGGGAAGGCTGCTATGCAGAAGTCCTCCAGTACGTGCCTGTTTCTCGCCTCATACCTGAGACAGATGGAGAACCAACCACCACTCAGCTGTTGTAAATAACAATAAAAGTAATCATCCTATTTACAATAATCAGAAGTTAACAGTTCATATTCATGCCACAAGTGCTCTCGAATTAAAATACTAAATGAACATCATGCTCCACAGGTGCATAAAAGGCCCATTTAGCATGGTTAAGAACACTTTACCTCTGCACCACCTCCAAGATGGACACCCCAAAGCTGTTGGTGCCCATCAGAGCATCATACAGCACATACAGGTTCTTCTCCCCTCCGGTCTTGGAGAAGAACTCCAGAAACATCCTCTTCTTGACCTCCTGAAACTGTGGCTTGGCCTCCCGAATGTCCATGTACTTCCGGAACTGGTTCCTGATGTTCTCCTCCACGCTTCTTAATCTCACAGTCAATGTCCTCCAGCTCGGTCGACAGTACGTCCAGCTTGTTCCTCACGGCCAGGAACTGCTCTTTGACATAGAAGACCTCTTTGCTCTTTACGTTGTCCAGGGCTAGTCGTAGGACAGGGGCGGCTTCCTCGCAGAGAGGGAAGAGCTCCCCGACTGCGCTGGCCAACACCTCAGCCCCTCGCTCAAAACTCTCCATCACAGCCTTGATGGCCTCTTTATTCTGGGCCTCCACCTTCTCCATGCTCTGGAGAGAGAATCAATACGAAAGTTGAACTATGTGTCAATGCTTGGCATAGGTGTGCCGGTCTTCAGAAAGCATGCTCAAAATCAGGAGGGAAAAGCTGCACATTGCTCTCAAATAAAGTGGTTGAATGCCCTATAATAACAGTTGACATTCAACCCCTTATGGGGGCAAAGTCTGTGAGTTTTCCCTGCAGAGTAACACAGATAAAATGATCAATTCCGATATCGCTATTGGACATTTAGAAATACGATTGATAACCTTGTTAAAGACCAAAACACACTCTTAAAGGGGCAATAAGCAGTTGCTACATACATTTTCTGGACTAAATTAATGATACAGTGCATTCGGATAGTATTTAGACCTGTTCAATTTTTCCACATTTTGTTACGTTACAGCCTATTGTAAAATTGATTAAATAAATGTTTCCCCCCCATCAATCTACACACAATACCCCATAATGACAAAGCGAAAAGAGGTTTTGAGAAATGTTTGCAAATGTAAAAAAATATTAAGTATTCAGACCCTTTGCTATGAGACTCAACATTGCGCTCAGGTGCATCCTTTTTCCATTGATCATCATTGAGATGTTTCTACAACTTGATTGGAGTCCACCTGTGGTAAATTCAATTGATTGGACATGATTTGAAAAGGCACACACCTGTCTATATAAGGTCCCACAGTTGACAGTGCATGTCAGAGCAAAAACCAAGCCATGAGGTCGAAGGAATTGTACGTATAGCGCTGAGACAGGATTGTGTCGAGGCACAGATCTGGGGAAGGGTACCAAAAAATGTCTGCAGCATTGAAGGTCCCAAAGAACACAGTGGTCTCCATCATTCTTAAATAGAAGAAGTTTGGAGCCACTAAGACTCTTCCTAGAGCTGGCCGCCCGGCCAAACTGAGCAATCGGGGGAGAAGGGCCTTGGTCAGGGAGGTGACCAAGAACCCGATGGACACTCTGACAGAGCTCCGGAGTTCCTCTGTGGAGATGGGAGAACCTTCCAGAAGGACAAACTTATCTGCAGCGCTCCACCAATCAGGCCTTTATGGTAGAGTAGCCAGACAGAAGCCACTCCTCAGTAAAAGGCACATGCCTGCCCGCTTGGGAGTTTGCCAAAAGGCACCTAAAGGACTCTCAGACCATGAGAAACAAGATTCTCTGGTCTGATGAATCCAAGATTTAACTCTTTGGCCTGAATGTCAAGCGTCACGTCTGGAGGAAACCTGGCACCATCCCTACGGTGAAGCATGGTGGTGCAGCATCATGCTGTGGGGATGTTTTTCAGCAGGAGGGATTGGGAGACTAGTCAGGATCGAGGCAAAGATGAACGGATTAAAGTACAGAAAGATTATTGATGAAAACTTGCTCCAGGCACTCAGGACCTCAGGCTGGGGCGAAGGTTCACCTTCCAACAGGACAACAACCCTAAGCACACAGCCAAGACAACGCAGGAGTGGCTTCAGGACAAGTCTCTGAATGTCCTTGAGTGGCCCAGCAAGAGCCCGGACTTGAACCCGATCTAACATCTCTGGAGAGGCCTGAAAATAGCTGTGCAGCGACGCTCCCCATCCAACCTGACAGAACTTGAGAGGATCTGCAGAGAAGAATGGGAGAAACTCGCCAAATACAGGTGTGCCAAGCTTGTAGTGTCAAACCTAAGAAGACTCGAGGCTGTAATCACTGCCAAAGGTGCTCCAACAAAGTACTGAGTAAATGGTCTGAATACTTATGTAAATGTTATATTTCAGTTTTTGTTTTTAATACATTTGCAAATAAGTTCTACAAACCTTTTTTCTTTGTCATTATGGGGTATTGTGTGAAGATTGATGAGGGAAAAAAACAATATAATCAATTTTAGAATAAGGCTGTAACGTAGCAAAATGTGGACAAAGGTCTGAATTCTGTCCGAATGCACAGTATGTACCCATTGATTCTTAAAGAATATAACTTATAAATGCCTCATGAGCTAAGTTCAACTGTCGTACCCCATCAGGAACTCAAAATATAAGCTTGTTTTACTTCACTACATTCCTAATTAAAATAATTTCATATTTTCTCCATACATTTTCCCTGACACCCAAAATAACTTTTGAATGCTAAACAGGACAGGAACATGGTCCAATTCACACACTTATCAAGAGAACATCCCTGGTCATCCTTACTACCTCTGATCTGGCGGACTCACTAAACACAAATGCTTCATTTGTGAATGATGTCTGAGTGTTGGAGTGTGCCCCTGGCTATCCGTAAATTACAAAAACAAGAAAATCGTGCCATCTGGTTTGCATAATATAAGGAATATGAAATGATTTATACTTTAACTTTTGCTTTTGATACTTAGGTATATTTTAGCAATTACATTTACTTTTGATACTAAGTATATTTTAAAACCAAATACTTTTAGACTTTTACTCAAGTAATAATTTGTGTTGAAAGTGCCGGGGACCACTTCCAACACATGGCCGGTCAGAACTGGTTCGAGGTGTTGCAGGTGAACGATACCAACCTGGTGGTTTCACTTTTACTTGAGTCATTTTCTTATTAAGATATGTTTACTTTTGCTCAAGTATGACAATTGGGTACTTTTCCCACCACTGCCCTTTAATGATTGACAGTCAGTAAAAATAAATACATAAAATATCACAATGAAATCAATATAGTGCTGTAGGCAGGCAGCAAGTGTACTCACTGGCCAGGAATGCCACTATGCCACTATGTACAGACAAGTTGTAGAGATGCTTGTATACAAGAGTTACATTTTTATGTCTGATACTGTCAAGGTCAAAGGTAGTGGCCAGTGGTCCCTCGGCACTGCATCGCAGTGCTACTGTGGCCACTAAGATCCCTGGTTTTGAATCCAGGCTCTTCGCAGCCGGCCGCGACCGGGAGACTCATGTCCGTGTTGGTCATTGTTACCGTGGACTTCACGAGTCGTTTCTTGTTTTGTTTATTGTGGTCTATTATCACTAAAGATAATAAAGTTTTAACCATGTTCGTTCAACACGCTGCGCCTTGGTCCTCCTCTATGTATGACGATCGTGACAGAAAACCCTCCATGCAACGACCAAGCAGTGTGTCCAGGGGCAGCTCTTGGGCTGGACATGGAGGAAGCGCCGGGAGAAGAGACGGTGGAGGCGCGCCGTAGAGAGGAGCAACGGCGTGATCAGGGTCGTCGTCGGGCGGTCGAGAGGCAACCCCAGAATGGACGACGGGGCTGACGGAGGCAAAAAAGGGGCGGATTCTGGAGGCCACCAGGTTACGGATACACCGCCCTGTACGTCCTGTGCGGATGCCTCACACAGAGTGTGTGAGGGTAGGCATTCAGCCAGGACGGGTTGTGGCCGCTCTTCACTCCAGGGCTCCTATCCGTCTCCACAGCCCGGTTCGGCCTGTCCCTGCTCCACGCACCAAGCCTACGGTGTGCGTCGCCAGCCCAGTCCGGCCAGTCCCTGCTCCACGCACCAAGCCTACGGTGTGCGTCGTCAGCCCGGTCCGGCCTGTCCCTGCTCCACGCACCAAGCCTACGGTGTGCGTCGCCAGCCCAGTCCGGCCAGTCCCTGCTCCACGCACCAAGTCTACGGTGCGCGTCGCCAGCCCGGCCCGGCCTGTTCCTGCCACTCGCACCAAGTCTACGGTGCGCGTCGCCAGCCCGGCCCGGCCTGTTCCTGCCACTCGCACCAAGTCTACGGTGCGCGTCGCCAGCCCGGCCCGGCCTGTTCCTGCCACTCGCACCAAGTATACGGTGCGCGTCGCCAGCCCGGCCCGGCCTGTTCCTGCCACTCGCACCAAGCCAGGGGTGCGAGTCGTCAGCCTGGTCCAGCCCGTTCCTGCCACTCGCACTGAGCCAGGGGTGCGAGTCGTCAGCCTGGTCCAGCCCGTTCCTGCTACTCGCACCAAGCCAGGGGTGCGAGTCGTCAGCCTGGTCCAGCCCGTCGCTGCTCCACGCACCAAACCAGGGGTGCGAGTCGTCAGTCCGGTGAGGCCCGTTCCGGCTCCACGCACCAAGCTAGGGGTGCGCATCGTCAGCCCGGTCCGGCCCGTTGCTGCTCCACGCACCAAGCCAGGGGTGCGAGTCGTCAGTCCGGTGAGGCCCGTTCCGGCTCCACGCACCAAGCCAGGGGTGCGTATCGTCAGCCCGGTCCGGCCCGTTGCTGCTCCACGCACCAAGCCAGGGGTGCGCGTCGTCTGTCCGGCACAACCCGTGCCTGGGTCACCGGTGCCTAACCAGGTACCGGTCAACGGCTCCACTACGGAGCTGAAGCTAACCGCTCCTGCTACGTCCAGTCCAGCTCCAGCCAGCGGGGCCAGACCGGACCAGGGGCGCTATGGGGGGTTTGTTGGAGGGTGGTGGGCAAGGCCGGAGCCAGAACCGCCGCCGAGGAGGTATGCCCACCCAGCCCTCCTGTTTTGCTCTTATTAGGCGCGTCGCAGCCGCGCCTTAGGGGGGGTACTGTCCACCTGGTCTGGGACTCATTGTTGGCCAGTCATTCTAAGTGGTTTTTTCTATGGGGGTTCTAGTTTGTATTTCTAGTTTTGCTGAGGGACTCCCATCAAGGCAAAGGGCAGGTTGGCTGTTGTCTCTGATTGGAGCATATTTAACGTATGTTTCCTTTGTGTTGTGGTTTTTGTCCGTGTGGTATTGTTCGATTCACGAGTCGTTTCTTGTTTTTGTAGGTCTATTATACAAAAATATAAGTTAACCATGTTCGTCGCTGGCCTTGTCCATCTATGTAGGACGTGACAAATACTGTCAAGGTCCAAGGTAAAAATCTGTATAATATCGAATGAGATGCAACATTTGCATGGAAAACAAATGATATTCTAAAGCCGAAAGGGGATGATACATTTATCATGTCATAAAATGACTGAAATAGACAGAGGTGTGAGCAGCCCTTCACTGGGACTGTTTATGCCTAATTTGGTTTCATAACCGACCAAGCCCAAGCAATATATACAAACAATCTCCTTTCATCCAAACCTCTAATAGGCCAAATCATTGCGGCCTTGGTCAGATCACAATCTGTAGAGGATGGACGGTCATACAGATACTGCGTCATTTTCAAATACGTTATGTCCAATTAACCAAGCCTTAATAAATAAACATCAATTAGATGTGTTTTATTGGAATATCTTAGATTATATTTCTGTCCACCGTCTGTGTTGTAATTTCCAATGTTTGAAAATAATAATAATAACAATTTATAGCAAATGTTGATACTGACTTTATTTTACTTCTACATTTGTATTACTCCAACTGCAATGAATAACTATTGCAGTTGGGTAGGTCAAATAATATAATTCAGTGTTTTCACACATGCCCATGTATGGGTACATTTACGCACGCATTTAGCTAAGTCCGATGAGTAACATTGGGCACCTTGCGGTCTTTACCCATCTTGTTGATTGAGAAACACATTCCTCTCATACAACAGCATAGTGTTTAATTTACCTGGTAGTGGCTTGACTTGTCCTTTATGCCCGATCAGCCCTGAAAGCTGCAGTTAAGATTTTTCTTTTCAAGTTTTCTCAAATTTTCCCACGGCTCTCTCTTCACTGTGATGTTGAGGAGAGGTCCAAAAACAGAGGAGGAATCACCGCCAAGCATTTAATATCTGCAGTTTGGCATGTGGAGAAAGAGCACGAGAGAGAGAGAGCGTGAGAGAGAGAGCATGAGAGAGAGCATGTGAAAGAGATATAACCCATATTTATGTTTATTTATTTTCCTTTTGTACTTTAACTATTTGCACATCGTTACAACACTGTATATAGCTATAATATGATGTGAAATGTCTCTATTCCTTTGGAACTTTTGTGAGTGTAATGTTTACTGTTAATTTTATATTGTTTATTTCACTTTTGTTTATTAATATTTCACTTGCTTTGGCAAAGTAAACATATGTTTCCCATGCCAATAAAGCCCTTTGGATTGAATTGAGAGTGAGTGAGAGAGAGAGAGAGAGAGAGAGAGAGAGAGAGAGAGAGAGAGAGAGAGAGAGAGAGAGCGAGAGAGAGAGAGGAGCGCACACGATGCGGTGGAATCTTGAAAATGGATGCGGGATATATATTTTTTTTACTCAGTAAGTACAGCACGTTTGTATAAATGTGTGATAGTGTAACGTGTTTTAGCGGTTAAGACATTGATTGATGGGTGAGACGTCCATACCTTTTACCGAGCGCATCTCCCCTACAGGGAAATACTTTTATCTGCTACCTATAGCACATACAATATTTTATAGCCTAATCTTTTTTTTCAAGCCAGCATTGTATTCAGGAGTTTACTTATTGAAATCAAATTGATGAAGTCTTGTATACAATTTGGGAATGTGTATGACTGTTACATGTAAAAAATCTCTAAGCTCTCGACCTCATAATCAAATAATATTGTGCCGTAGTCTGCCTATACTATTGTACAGGCCTGTATGACAGTTAAATTACATTGATCATATTGGTCCATTTGTACAGTTTTTTTAAAAACAATTCCCTAGTGTCTAAAACATTTAATTGCATCAGTTTGAATTTCTCTCTCTCTCTCTCTCTCTCTCTCTCTCTCTCTCTCTCTCTCTGAGTGCGCGCCATAGACTTGCACGCCATAGACTTGCCTCATGAGCTACTCCCCATCCCTGCATGATCAGCAACCATTACGCAAATTAGTTATAAATCATTACAATCTGATTATAGATTTGGTTAATGCACAATTCGACCTTTCTATTCACTGAAATGTTATGAAACCGATTACACAACACAATAGAATTTAATGGCATTTAGTTGCCATTTAATAAAACACATATCCTATTTTCCGATGTCTTTGAAGCATGCAGCGGCCAGTCTCAAAAGATGACTTCTGACTGATGCATAAAGGTGTGGGAGCTGCACATATTGGCCAACTGCACATGAAACAAGTGCTTCCAACACGTCATGAAGCTGTGCAGGTAAGACAATATCTTATGTCTCAGACAGTAGGTCTACTCGTCTTAATACATTTCAGTTTTGGTCCACCGACTCAGGGGAGGGGGGTGTGGGGGGAAAACAGTTTTTCTGGCTGGCATGGGGACATAACACAGAGGCATAGCCTATAGCTGTGTGCGCTGTCTCAATGTGTCCTCTTTAACAGTGCAGTGGCCTAAAAACAAAAGCAGACTTTTGAGTAGGCCTGCTCTCATAGTAACATCTTTTACCAAATTAATGTTTTTTTCATTTAGGCCCACCATGAGGCTTATCAAAACGGTCCAAGGCCTATAGATTGATTTTCTAATACAGCGAGGTAAACACCAGGCCCTCTGGTGGAAATATACACTCTTAGAAAAAATTGTTCCGAAAGGGTTCTTCAGCTGTCCCCATAGGGTTCTAACTGGAAACAAAAAGGGTTCTTCAAACCGTCTTCAAACGGTTCTCCTACTAGCCAAAGAACCCTTTAAGATTCTAGATAGCACCTTTTATTCAAAAAGTGTAGGCACAGCATCTTCACAGTATTACATTCACTTATATGGCATCTTGTGTGGGTGCCTACAGTAGCAGTATTACCAAATGTTTACTTATCATGATTCCAAGGTTATTCTGACACCTAGAGGTATGAAATTATACTACAGCAGTGGTCTCCAACCCTGTTCCTGGAGAGCTACCCTCCTGTAGGTTTTCGCTCCAACCCCAGTTGTAACTAACCTGGTTCATCTTATCAAGCAGCTAATTATTAGAATTAGGTGTGCTAGATTAGGGTTGGAGTGAGGAAGGTAGCTCTCCAGGAACAGGGATGGAAAGCCATGTACTACAGACACTACCCAATTGGCTTCATGCAACACATGGGCCCAATCCCTAAAGGAACCCTAGACCCTACACTCTATGCACTTGTGGAGATCTGATAATATTAGACATGTGCAATCAATATGGTAATAGCTCCACCTTGCCCTCTGATAGGCTAAATTTAAGTTTCACCATAATGCTTATACGAATCAAATCCTCTCAGATCTCCTCAAGTGCATAGAGTCTAGGGGTCCATTCGGAAAATATGAAAGGAGCAAAGCCCAGGTAAAAAGTTAGAGGAAAACCCACCTCAGTCTTCTGAAAACCTAACCCTGGGATAGAATTTTATTTTTCAGCAAGACAATTACACACATTTTAATGCCAAATACACACCAAAATGGCTTTCCAATAGGTGTTCCTGATTGGTCTAGTCTCAGTCTCAGAGCTTGAGCAATTTTGACAAAAACAATGGATATATGTTGCCGTAAGAGTTGTGCAAAGTTGATGGAATGTTATTCCAAATGATTCACAGCTGTAATGACTGCCAAAGATGCTTCCTCCAAGTATTAACCAAGTGGGATGGAGACTTATCCAATTATGATATTTCAGTTTAGTTTGAATTTGTTTTGAAACATTTCTATAACTTTTTTCACATATTTAACCCCTTATTTTTGTTGCCACAAAACTACCTCCTTACTTCCATTCATTTGTATGGGTTACCTTCAGATGAGTTCTGTTACACTTATGGGGGTTGTAGAGATACAGAGAACGGAGAACACCATCTTTCCATAGAGTTGTCATATTAGTTAGTAGGCCAAACCGTTCGGACGCTACAGACGTTTTTGTGAGAAGAACGATTTTTGGGATGTCTCACGGCAGATGTGGAAGGGCCACATAGGCGGATGCAGAGGATTGAGACGCAGCCCATGCAAAAAAACATATCTCTAGCTTAAACTAACAGATTTTGATGGGGATTTTGTATTATGTTCAAAAGATTGACAAACAGGTGCGTCAATAGATCCTTAATGAATTATAGAATAATGACTCCACATTGATAGTCAATTAACTGGTTGAATGAACATAGAAAAGTTGTATACACAGCTGTCCTGGAGTAAGGAGAAAAGTGATGGAAGAAAGGATGGGGGATCCTAGGTCATAGAGGGAATGTGGAGAAAGTCCCACGTATAGAGGACAACTATCAGAGGAGCATATATTCTATTTTAGCCAACCACCATGTAGTAAATACCAATGTATGAAAAAAATACAAATGTATAAAAAATTATAGAATAAATGAGTGTTTTCACTAATGCGCATGTCTGATGGTGACACACTGTATGGGTACTGTATTTACGCACGCATTAGCTAAGTCTGATGAGTAACATTGGGCACACCTTGCAGTCTTTACCGCTGTCTTGTTGTTTGAGAAACCCATTCCTCTCCTTCCTACAACAGCATAGCTTTCTTTACCTAATAGTGGATGTACTTGTCCTTCACGCCCGATCAGCCCCAACAGCTGCTTCTTTCAAGTTTTCTAAAATGTTCCTTCCAGTGCGATGTTGAGGAGAGGTCCAAAAAGAGAGGAGGATTCACGGCCACACATTTAATATCTGCAGTTTGGTGTAAAGAGAGAGAGGGAGAGGTAGGGAGAGAGAGTAGAGAGAGAGAGAGCAAGAGAGAGAGAGAGAGAGAGAGAGAGAGAGAGAGAGAGAGAGAGAGAGAGAGAGAGAGAGAGAGAGAGAGAGAGAGAGAGAGAGAGAGAGAGAGAGAGAGAGAGAGAGAGAGAGAGAGAGAAAGGGTCGAAAGAGCAGCTCCGGGAGAAGGTAGCGCGACCAGTGAACAGGTCAGGGTTCCTTAGCCACAGGCAGAACAGCAGAATCTGGGTCAGCAACACGACAACTTAGCATGTCCTGTGAAAAGGTCAGGGTTCCATAGCGCCGGGCAGAACAGCAGAAACTGGATCAGCAGCATGACCAGGTGGACAGCCAGAAGTCGTCAGATCAGGTAGTCCTGAGGCATGGTCCTAGGGGTCAGGTCCTCCGGGAGGGGTTGAGAGAGAGAGAGAGTGAGAGAGAATAAGAGGTTCCAATCAAAGTGCCTATGCCGTTTAACAAACTCCAGGCTATTACATATGTTGGATGAAATTAAAATAAATCTCTTTGGCCACACACACAAGTTGTGGGTTTGGTGTTGAAATAAGGAAGCATAAGCAGAAAGGAACCCCATACCTACTGTAAAATATGGAGGTGGCCCTTTGATGTTATGGGGCTATTTTGCTTCCGCTGGTTCTGGGGCCCTTTTTAAGGTCAACGGCATCATGAACTTTAAACACTACAATTACATGTTAGCCAAAAACCTGGTTGCCTCTGCCAGGAGGCTGACACTTGGCCGCAAGCTGATCTTTCAGCAAGACAATAACAGTAAGTACACATCAAAATCCGCAAAGAAATGGTTAATTAACTTGAACTCCATTGAAAACATGTGGTTTGAATTGAACAGGGTAGTCGATAAGCACAGATGAAGGATACCAAGGATATGGAAAGATTCTGTTTGGAAAAATGGTCTAAGATCCCTCCCAATGCGCTCTCCAATCTCATAAATCATTTTAGAAACAGGCTCTTAGAGAGAGAGAGAGGGAGAGAGAGAGAGAGGGGAGCGCACACTATATGGTGGAATATTTTTGGATACCCTCTCACCTATCTCAACCATCAATGCTTACATGAAGAGGAGTTTGGCAGTTTCTTATGAGAGATAGAAAGATATATGTGACTGTGAGTGTAATTGTTGTTTCACTGATTCTCAGGTACAGTTCTTTGGCTAAAGACCTTGGAAGAGACTATTGTGCACTTAGGGCGATCAGCTCTTCAAAAATGATGGGTGTGGAATGTGCATACATTATGTATTCGGAAATGACCAGGTATCATCAACTAGATTCAATGATGTAACGCGGAGTGCCTGGATACAGCCCTTAGCTGTGGTATATTGGCCATATACCACAAACCCCTGAGGTGCCTTATTACTATTATAAACTGGTTAGCCAATCAGCATTCAGGGCTCAAACCACCCAGTTTATAATTACAAATAATTTACGGACTGTAAATTGACTGCATGAAGCCCAAACAGATATAATGTTTGAATAAAACATAATAATTTAAAAAATTCTATACAAATGCTTACATTGTATACGATCACATCTCTCTATTATGCGTGGGAATACTTGGGAACAGATTTCTTACATTAAAATCACTTGGAGCTCATTTCCTGGTGTTTTTACAGTCTTTTATGTCCCACAATGATTTATATAATTTCTAAAAAATTGTATTAACATTATTATTATTTTTTGCTCAGAAAACTTGGGGGGGGGCCAAATAAAACCACCCACGGGCCAAATTCGGCCCGCGGGCCGCCAGTTGGGGAGCCCTGCTCTACACGTTCTTCTTCTACTCCTCTTCTTCACTTGCACTTCCGCAGGGCCTCCTGCATCCTCTCATGCACATGCTCCATCTTCTCGGTCCACTCAACCCTCCAGGATGGGCCGGCTGAACAGCTTGGGCTTGCCCACCATGACCTCGTAGAGCGTGTGCAGGTTCTGGTCGCCCAGGTCATTAGAGTAGCTCTCCTTGAAGTCGTCCTTCTTGCGCTCACAGTACTCGGGCCGCACCGCCACCATCTCTATGAACTTGAGGGACTGGTTGCGCAGGTTCTCCGCCACATGGCAGTACTGGTCATCCAGCATCTCCTTCTTGATCTGCAGCAGGGAGCTGCGGTTCTGCTGGGCCAGCTGGTCCAGGGCACGGTTGACCTAGCCAAACTCGCGCTTCAGCGTCTGGATGTCCTCATCGTCCACGTGGTGCAGCACCACTCGGATTAGAGAGCCGGCCACGCCAAAAATGGGGTTGACCACAGCCACCGCTGAGAAGATGGTGGTCACACACTGCAGCACCTTCACCAGGCCCTGTTTCAGCTTGGCCCGGTCTTCCACAATCTCCATCTCCGACATGATGGCAAGCTGGAAGTCATGACACAGGGGTCAAAACCTGGCAGTGCTTGATAGGGTTGGGGAGGATGGTAGCTTCTGATACAGAGACAGAAGCCTGAGAGAAAGAGAGAGTAGAGCAATGTATTGACAAGTTGTTAAAAAAAGAAAGTTCATTGTACAAAGCAAAATCACAAGTGGAAGTGTTAAGCTCTAATAGTGTTAAATGTAACACTCACTATATTGTCCCATACCGCACATAGTTAATGTTACACTTTTGAAAGTGTTAGCTTTTTAACAATTTCACAGTGTTTCTGTAACTCTGTAAATACACTGAATAAAAATATAAATGCAACATGTAAAGTGTTGGTCCCATGTTTCATGAGCTGAAATAAAAGATCCCAGAAATTTTCCTTACGGACAAAAAGCTTATTTCTCTCAAATTTTGTGCACACATTTCTTTACATCCCTGTTAGTGAGCATTTCCCCTTTGCCAAGATAATCCATCCACCTGACAGGTGTGGCAAATCAAGAAGCTGATTAAACAGCATGATCATTACACAGGTCCACCTTGTGCTGGAAACAATAAAAGGCCAGTCTAAAATGTGCAGTTTTGTCACACAACACAATGCCTCAGATGTCTCAAGTTTTGAGGGAGTGTGCAATTGGCATGCTGACTGCAGGAATGTCCACTAGAGCTATTGCCAGAGAATGTAATGTTAATTTCTCTACCATAAGCCAATATCGTTTTAGAAAATGAGGCAGTACGTCCAACCGGCCTCACAACTGCAGACCACGTGTAACCACGCCAGCCCAGGACCTTCACATCAGGCTTCTTCACCTGCGGGATCATCTGAGACCAGCCACCAGGACAACTGATGAAACTGTGGGTTTGCACAACCAAAGAATTTCTGCACACACTGTCAGAAACCGTCTCAGGGAAGCTCATCTGCGTGCTCATCGTCCTCACCAGGGTCTTGACCTGACTGCAGTTCGGCATCGTAAAAGACTTCAGTGGGAAAATGCTACCTTCGATGGCCACTGGCACGCTGGAGAAGTGTCCTCTTCATGGATTAATCCCGGTTTCAACTGTACCAGGCAGATGGCAGATAGCGTGTATGGCGTTGTATAGGCGAGCGGTTTGCTGATGTCAACGTTGTGAAAAGAGTGCACCATGGTGGCAGTGGGGTTATGGTATGGGCAAGCATAAGCTACGGACAACAATTACAATTTCATTTTATTGATAGCAATTTTAATGTACAGAGGTACAGTGACTAGATCCTGAGGCCCATTGTCGTGCCATTCATCCGCCGCCGTCACCTCAAGTTTCAGCATGATAATGCACGGCCCCATGTCACAATAATCTGTACACAATTCCTGGAAGCTGAAAATATCCAAGTTCTTCCATGGTCTGAATACTCACCAGACATGTCACCCATTGAGCACGTTTGGGATGCTCTGGATCGACATGTACGACAGCATGCTCCTGTTCCCGCCAATATCCAGCAGCCATTGAAGAGGAGTGGGATAACATTCTAGAGGCCAGAATCAACAGCCTGATATGTGAAGGAGACGTGTCGCGCTGCATGAGGCAAATGGTTGACACATCAGATACTGACCGGTTTTCTGATCCACGCCCCTACTTTTTTTAAAGGTATCTGTGACCAACAGATACATATCTGTATTCCCAGTCATGCGAAATCCATAGATTAGGGCCTAATTTACTTATTTAAATTGACTGATTTCCTTAAATGAACTGTAACAGTAAAATCTTTGAAATTGTTGCATGTGGCGTTTATAGGTTTGTTTGTATATATAGAGAGTTGGGCCAATGCGGTTTCTGTCTGAACATTCCAAGAGCGCCACTTTGTCCTCCATAGCCATTTCTAAGTGATAATTGACACTTCCACAATGTGCTGTTCATTTCTGAACGTTTCCAAAACATGTGAAGCAATTTTTTGATACCACAAAACAGTACAGTATACTGTATATGGCTCTGGAGTGGACTACCTTTTAACATAATTGGTTCCATTTACATTCCATCTAAGAGCTTAAATAATGAATAACAACACACCATATGTGATAACGTATTTTTCTTATTAAGTGCAAAAAAGCATTTACTTAGAAAACACATTTAATTCAAGGAACAAAAACCAAAGATACTGTATACAAGGTTCATAATGCATGCATTCAGACTCATTTCTGAAAATGAACTTGACAGTGTAAAATAGAAAACATGAGGGCTGAAGTGCAACACTGCTCATTGCAAAATATTATAAAATCTATACTTAATCCATTCCATTCATTGACAAAGGAATTGCCCACCACCCAAAAGGAAATGACTATTATTTTTTAATTGAAGGAAGAGTACTAGTAGTCACCAAATAACCTTTAACCTTAAAGCCCTCATGCCCACCCAACCCTGGGAGTGAATGTGGATCAGTTCCCTTCACACTGGGCCAGCGCCTCATTCATCTTGGCCTGAATCTTCTCCACCTTGGGGGCCCATTTCATCCTGACTTCATCCTCATCATCCTCTGTGACCACCGTATATGCCATTAGTGTCATCAGGCCCATGCGAAAGACATTAGCCAGTTGGGAACACTTTTTCTCCATGTCGCCTCGGTTTTGCTTGTAGTGCTCTAGGTACACCTCCAGCAAACCCCTTTGTTCAAAAGTTTTCTCCTCTTCTATGACCCCGCTGTAGTACGTGTTCAGAGCAAGGGTACTCTTGTCTCTCTCATAGACCCTCTGGAACTCTGCCATGTAGCCCTCTCTTCCTTCAGGGTCTTTTTCAATCTGCTCCACCATGGTGTTGAGGGCAGTGTACTGGTGCTTGATTTGATCTTCATATTTGCTGTAATTCTCAATGACCTCGTCCAGGTGAATCTGCTTCAGAATCTGCTGGTTTGTCTTGGAGATGCTTTCCAGCTTGGCCTGGATGTGGCCGAATGTTTTGACGTCCTTGTCTTGAGTGAGGTCTTTGGCGACCAGGCCCTTTGTCACCTTCACCACTGCGGTGACTATGTTGAAGAGTGGGTTTATGGTGGCAGCGAAGGTGGAGACTTTCTCCATGCCGTTTAGGATTGTGACAGCTGTCTCCTTGTTCATGGTTGCTGTCAAGTCCTGAAACTGGAGTGGAAATTACATTAAATGGAAATGTTAATTAAATAAATACTTAAATACTCTTCCCAGAGTATTGATGAAATTACAGTTTCTTATGCAATCACTGGAAGGGATTTCTTCTTTTGGTACCAGTCCAATCTACAGCTAGCATTATTCGGTCTAAAATTGTGACCAAAAAGACAGATTCAATGTCCATTGAGTTCATCTAAAATAATGATAAATAATAGAATATTACCTTGTGGTTCTGTAGTAGTAGTAGTAGTAGTAGTAGTAGTAGTAGTGAAAGTATTTATAGTTGTGGTTATGTTGTCTCTGAACTGGCAGCTTTATATCCATCTGAAGACCCTGTTCAGTCCTCTGTGCCATGTAAGGGCAGAGTGTGGAAGTGACTCATGCATACACGATGCTGATTGGGTTACCTAAAATGAGATTTTCTCAAAAAGATAGGGGTCAAAATAACTGGCACCCCTGATTTCAATACATTTCAATACCTCACCTTGTGAGGATAACAGCACTGAGCCTTTTTCTAACATGATTGGGAGGGATCTTGGACCATTCCTCCATACAGAATCTTTCTAGATCCTTGGTATGCTTCATCTGCACTTATGGACTACCCTGTTCAATTCAAACCACATTTTCCAATGGGGTTCAAGTCAGGAGACTGATGGCCATTGAAAAATGTTGATGTTGTGGTCAATTAACAATTTATTTGTGGATTTTGATGTGTACTTAGGGTTATTGTCTTGCTGAAAGATCCACTTGCGGCCAAGTGTCAGCCTCCGGGCAAAGGCAACCAGGTTTTTGGCTGAAATGTCCTGGTAGTGTTTAAAGTTCATGATGCCGTTGACCTTAAAAAGGGCCCCAGAACCAGCAGAAGCAAAATAGCCCCATAACATCAAAGGGCCACCTCCATATTTTACAGTAGGTATGGGGTTCCCTTTCTGCTTATGCTTCCTTATTTTAACGCCAAACCCGCAACTAGTGTGCGTGGCCAAAAAGCTTTATTTTAATTTCATCCAACAAATGTAATAGCAACAACTGCCCCGTTCAGTCCTCTGTGCCATGTAAGGGAATGTTGTGGGAGTGACTCATGTATGCTGATTATGGGGTAGATGCAACTCTTAATTCCACTGTTGATTGGCTCACAATCCCACAGCTGCAGAGCAGAACATAGCTGCAACCCAATTTATTCTGAGTGATGCCAACTTCCATGGAAATCTTTCATTAATGTTCTACTAGAATGAGGAATGACAATGACAAAGTGCAAAAATTACTATTCCAAAATTGGAGAGCACATTGGGAGGGATCTTAGTCCATTCCCACAGAAAGTATTCACACCACTTCACTTTTTACACATTTTGTTGTGTTACGGCCTGAATTTATAATGTGTTAAATTTAGATTTTGTGTCACTGATCTACAAACAATACCTCATAATGTCAAAGTGGAATTTAGTTCATAGAAATTATAGAAATTAATAGAAAATGTAAAGCTGAAATGTCTTCAGTCAGTAATTGTTCAACCCCTTTGTTATAGCAAGGCTAAATAAGTAAAAATGTACTTAACAAATCGCATAATATGTTGCATCGACTCATTCCGTGTTCAATAAACATGAATTTTAAATGACTACTCCATCCCTGTATACCACACATACAATTATCTGTAAGGTCCCTCAATCGAGTAGTGAATTCCAAGCACAGATTCAACCACAAAAACCAGGGAGGTTTTTCAATGCCTCACAAAGAATGGCACCGATTGGTAGATGTGTACAAAAATAACTGACGCTGAATATGCCTTTGAAACATGGTTAAGATATTAATTAGACTTTGGATGGTGACTCATGCATTCGCGATGCTGATTGGGTTACGGGGAAAAGGCTACTTACGCTTCAATCCACTTTCGATTGGTTCACAATCCCATGGCTGCAGTGTAGAACATAGCTGCAATCCAATATATTCTGAGTGATGCCAACTTCCATGGAAATCTTTCATTAATGTTCTACTGGAATGAGCAGTGACAATGACAAAGTGCAAAAATAATGTTGAAAGTTATGATGCCAGATGATGCAATTGCACACACAAAGAGCTACTGAGATAAGGGTGTTCATGGTTGCTGTTTTAAGACAGCCTCTAAATACAGTACCACAGCTGTCGTGCAACTGATTGTCAGTAAAGGGGTGCACAGACGAGGTGTAGCAACCCAAATAATACTGTACACATTGCAGTCAGTGGCAATTTTAGCATGTACATCTTGGTTGGGGCAAACGCATATATTTTTTTAAATGCATGCCAGCAAAGCCACTACACAACACAACACTAAACAATACATTAATTGCACTATAACGGCGACAAACGGTGCCCACAAACTGTTATGGCCTACATAAAGCTGTCCCGAAAGGTCGCTGGTTATAATCCCCGAGCTGACTAGGTGAAAAATCTGTTGATGTGCCCTTGAGCAAGGCACTTAACCCTAATTGCTCAAGTAAGTCGCTCTGGATAAGAGCGTCTGCTAAATGACTAAAATGTCAGAGGAAAAACCAAGCCATGAGGCTGAAGGAATTGTCCGTAGAGCTCCAAGACAGCATTTTGTCGAGGCACAGATCTGGGGAAGGGTACCAAAACATTACAAGAACACAGTGGCCTCTGTCATTCTTAAATGGAAGAAGTTTGGAACCACTAAGACTTTTCCTAGAACTGGCCGCCTGGCCAAACTGAGTCAGGGAGGTGACCAAGAACCTGATGGTCACTCTGACAGAGCTCCAGAGTTCCTCAGTGGAGATGGGATAACCTTCCAGAAGGACAACCTTATCTGCAGCACTCCACAAATCAGGACTTTATGGTAGCGTGGCCAGACGGAAGCCACTACTCAGTAAAAGGCACATGACAGCCCGCTTGGAGTTTGCCAAAAGTCACCTAAAGAACTCTCAGACCATGAGAAACAAGATTCTCTGGTCTGATGAAACCAACATTGAACTCTTTGGCCTGAATGCCAAGTGTCACATCTGGAGGAAACCTGGCACAATCCCTACGGTGAAGCATGGTGGTGCAGCATCATGCTGTGGGGATGTTTTTCAGCGGCAAGGACAGAGAGACTAGTCAGGATCACGGGAAAGATGAGAGGAGCAAAGTACAGAGAGATATTTGATGAAAACCTGCTCCAGAGCACTCAGGACTTCAGACTGGGGTGAAGGTTCACCTTCCAACTGGACAACGACCCTAAGCACACAGCCAAGACAATGCAGGAGTGGCAACGGGACATGTCTCTGACTGTCCTTAAGTGGCCCAGCCAGAGCCCGGACTTGAACCCGATCTAACATCTCTGGAGAGACCTGAAAATAGCTGTGCAGCGACGCTCCCCATCCAACCTGACAGAGCTTGAGAGGATCTGCAGAGAAGAATGGGAGAAACTCCCCAAATACAGGTGTGCCAAGCGTGTAGCATTATACCCAAGAAGGCTCAAGGCTGTAATTTCTGTCAAAGGTGCTTCAACAAAGTACTGAGTAAAGGGTCTGAATACTTAAGTAAATGTGATATTTCAGTTTTTATAAAATAAATACAAACCTGTTTTTGCTTTGTCATTATGGGGTATTGTGTGTAGATTGATGAGGGATTTATTTATTTATTTAAATACATTTTAGAATAAGGCTGTAACAACAAAATGTGGAAAAAGTCAAAGGGGTCTGAATGCTTTCAAAATGCACTGTAAATTCAGCAAGATGTTGAGGCCTTAACCTTACTCTTCTTTAAGTCACCACACACACAGAGAGAGAGAGAGAGAGAGAGAGAGAGAGAGAGAGAGAGAGAGAGAGAGAGAGAGAGAGAGAGAGAGAGAGAGAGAGAGAGAGAGAGAGAGAGAGAGAGAGAGAGAGAGAGAGAGAGAGAGAGAGAGAGAGAGGAGAGAGGGAGAGAGAGCGCGAGAGAGAGCACGAGAGAGAGAGATGCAGTTAGCCTACCATTTGAAGTATTTTATTAGGCCTACAGTTGAAGTCGGAAGTTTACATACACTTAGGTTGGAGTCATTAAAACTCGTTTTTTCAACCACTCCACAAATGTCTTGTTAACAAACTATAGGTTTGGCAAGTCGGTTAGGACATCTACTTTGTGCATGACACAAGTAATCTTTCCAACAATTGTTTACAGGCAGATTATTTCACTTATAATTCACTGTATCACAATTCTAGTTGGTCAGAAGTGTACGTACACTAAGTTGACTGTTCCTTTAAACAGCTTGGAAAATTCCAGAAAATTATGTCATGGCTTTAGAAGCTTCTGATAGGCTAATTGACATCATTTGAGTCAATTGGAGGTGGACCTGTGGATGTATTTCAAGGCCTACCTTCAAACTCAGTGCTTCTTTGTTTGACATCATTGGAAAATCAAAAGAAATCAGCCAAGACCTCAGAAATGTCTGGTTCATCCTTGGGAGCAATTTCCAAACGCCTGAAGGTACCACGTTCATCTGTACAAACAATAGTACGCAAGTATAAACACCATGGGACCACGCAGCCGTCATACTGCTCAGGAAGGAGACGTGTTCTGTCTCTTAGAGATGAACGTACTTTGGTGCGAAAAGTGCAAATCAATCCCAGAACAACAGCAAAGGACCTTGTGAAGATGCTGGAGGAAACAGGTGCAAAAGTATCTTTATCCACAGTAAAACGAGTCCTATATCGACATAATCTGAAAAGCCGCTCAGCAAGGAAGAAGCCACTGCTCCAAAACCGACATAAAAAAGCCAGACTACGGTTTGCAACTGCACATGGGGACAAAGATCGTACTTTTTGGAGAAATGTCCTCTGGTCTGATGAAACAAAAATAGAACTGTTTGGCCATAATGACCATCGTTATGTTTGGAGGAAAAAGGGGAAGGCTTGCAAACCGAAGATCACCATCCCAACCGTGAAGCACGGGGGTGGCAGCATCATGCTGTGGGGGTGCTTTGCTGCAGGAGGGACTGGTGCGCTTCACAAAATAGATGGCATCATGTTGAAGGACAATTATGTGGATATATTGAAGCAACATCTCAAGACATCAGTCAGGAAGTTAAAGCTTGGTCGCAAATGGGTCTTCCAAATGGACAATGACTACAAGCATACTTCCATAGTTGTGGCAAAATGGCTTAAGGACAACAAAGTCAAGGTATTGGAGTGGCCATCACAAAGCCCTGACCTCAATCCTATAGAAATGTATGGGCAGAACTGAAAAAGCGTGTGCGAGCAAGGAGGCCTACAAACCTGACTCAGTTACACCAGCTCTGTCAGGAGGAATGGGCCAAAATTCACCCAACTTATTGTGGGAAGCTTGTGGAAGGCTACCCGAAACGTTTGACCCAAGTTAAACAATTTAAAGGCAATGCTACCAAATACTAATTGAGTGTATGTAAACTTCTGACCCACTGGGAATGTGATGAAAGAAATAAAAGCTGAAAAAATCTTTCTCTCTACTACTATTATTCTGACATTTCACATTCTTAAAATAAAGTGGTGATCCTAACTGACCTAAGACAGGGAATTTGTACTAGGATTAAATGTCAGGAATTGTGAAAAAGTGAGTTTAAATGTATTTGGCTAAGGTGTATGTAAACTTCCGACTTCAACTGTAATTGGCCTGTTCTGTTAATAGTGGCCACAGTATAGATAATGTTTATTGTAAAACACCCTTATATTTTATTATGCCCGAAATGTAGGTAAAATAGTGAACGCGTTAATCAAAGCGTATGTGATACAGTCAGATACAAAATGATTGGCATCCTTGTAAAAGATTAGCAAGATTAGCAAAAATGACTGTATAAAATAAAGAATACAAATACTGAGCTCTATTGTCTGCTCAAAAAATGGGAAAACTATATTATTTTACACTAATACAGTGAAAGAGATGTTGTTTAATAAGTAATACATTTATTTTCACAAAGATAGGTATCAAAATAATTGCCACCCCTCTTTTCAATAGCTCACCTTGCCAGCCTTTTTCTAAAATGTTTTATGAGATTAAAGAGCACATTGGTAGGGATTTTACGCTTGGGGTTATTGTCTTGCTGGAAGATCCACTTGTGGCTGAACGTCAGACTCCTGTTGAGGCAACCAGGTTTTTGGCTAAAATGTCCTGGCATTTGGTAAATGGTAAACCTTAACAATGGCCACTGGACCAATGGAAGCAGAATAGCCCCATTGATTGCTTTTGAAGTGACAGGTTAGGGTGAAATCTGTAGCCCATCTCCGCTGCGCTGTATCAGCACAATTGACAGCGCCCTACACACTAAAGAGAGGCCTATTTGGCAATGAATATAGGCTACCAAATAGATAGGGTAATTAACCTATTACAAACAGCCTACAGTATGTGAATGCAGCCATGCACACAGTAATAATGCAAACTGAATGCTGAACGCAGTAGCCTAGTTATTCATACAAAACAAAAACAATGAAAGGCAGTTTGGCTTAGAATATCGACACAATTGCGAATGCGAACAAAACCCCAATGCACACAAACACACACACACTGCAGTCTGTGCAATACTGATTTCTTGCTCCCGCTCCCTCCAGCAACTTTTCATTACATTTACATTTACGTCATTTAGCAGACGCTAAACTTACACATTGGTGCATTCACCTCATGATAGCCAGTGGGACAACCACTTTACAATGTTTTTATTTTTAATGTTCTTTTATTATTATTATTATTTATTATTTTTTATATATTCTTGGGGGGGGGGGGGTAGATATATTGTGGGGGGGGGGGTAGATGGGTAGTAGAAAGAATGATTACTTTTAATACTATCCCAGTATCCTTAAAGAGAAAATTTTTAGGGGGGGGCTCACGACGTCGGGGCAGAAGGTGTACGGCCCGGAGGAGTGCAAGAGGTTGGCAGATATGGCCGCCAGTTTAAGGGGGCCACTGGTTACGAAGGGGATGGAAAGTGTGGAGGCACGGCGAGAGGTACTGGGGGGTGTTTCCAGTCCGGTCCGGCCCGTTCCTGATCCCCGTGTAGGGCCAGGGGTGTGTGTCCCCAGTGCGGTTCTGCCTGTCCCTGCTCGACGCCCCGAGCCTACGGGGTGCGTCGTCAGCCCTGTCCAGCCAGAGCCGTCCGCCAGACAGGATCAGCCAGAGCCTTCCGCCAGACGGGATCAGCCAGAGCCTTCCGCCAGACGGGATCAGCCAGAGCCTTCCGCCAGACAGGATCAGCTAGAGCCTTCTGCCAGACAGGATCAGCCAGAGCCTTCCGCCAGCCAGGATCCGCCAGAGCCGTCCAGCCATGAGCAGCCAGATCCGTCAGCCGGCCATGAGCAGCCAGATCCGTCAGCCAGCCATGAGCAGCCAGATCCGTCAGCCAGCCATGAGCAGCCAGATCCGTCAGCCAGCCATGAGCAGCCAGATCCGTCAGCCAGCCATGAGCAGCCAGATCCGTCAGCCAGCCATGAGCAGCCAGATCCATCAGCCAGCCATGAGCCGTCCAGCCAGGATCCGCCAGAGCCGTCCAGCCAGGATCCGCCAGAGCCGTCCAGCCAGGATCCGCCAGAGCCGTCCAGCCGGGATCCGCCAGAGCTGTCCAGCCGGGATCCGCCAGAGCCGTCCAGCCGGGATCCGCCAGAGCCGTCCAGCCGGGATCCGCCAGAGCCGTCCAGCCAGGATCCGCCAGAGCCGACCAGCCAGGAGCCACCAGAGCCGTCCAGCCAGTATCCGCCATTCAGCCTGGTACTGCCCCTTAGTCCGGTACTGCCCCTTAGTCCGGTACTTCCCCGTAGTCCGGTGCTGCCCCTTAGTCCGGTGCCGCCCCTTAACCCAGTGGGGTGTAGTTGGGGGGTGGTAATGTGGAGGAGGCTAGGGAAGCGGGGTGGTGACTAAGGTGGGATGGGGACCACGACCAGGGGCAGAACCGCCACCGTGGACAGACGCCCACCCAGACCCTCCCCTAGACTGTATGCTGGTGCGCCCGGAGTTCGCACCTTTAGGGGGGGGTACTGTCACACTCTGGCTCCAGGACTTGTGTATTTGAGCCAGGGTGTATGTTGTTTTGTTGGGTTTTGGGTGATGTTTTATGGTTGCATGTCTGTCACGTTTATTTCTAGGTGGGGAGTTCTGTTGTGTCTATTTCTAGGTTGTGGTTGTGTTTCCTTGTTTGTATTCAATGACTCCCAATCGGAGGTAACGAGTGTCAGCTGTCGGCTCGTTATCTCTGATTGGGAGCCATATTTAAGATGTAGGTTTTCTTGTGTTAGTTGTGGGTTTTTGTTCTATGTTCAGTCGGTGTACTGAGGACGTTACGGATCGTGTTTTGTTTTGTCGTTATTTCACATTAAAGTTAGGGTTTCAAGTGTCTCCGGAAGGTGTTCAGTGACTCCGCTGTCCTGGCGTCGTGAGGGAGCTTGTTCCACCATTGGGGTGCCAGAGCAGCGAACAGTTTTGACTGGGCTGAGCGGGAACTGTGCTTCCGCAGAGGTAGGGGGACCAGCAGGCCAGAGGCGGAAGAACGCAATGTCCTCGTTTGGGTGTAGGGACTGATCAGAGTCTGAAGGTAAGGAGGTGCCGTTCTCCTCACAGCTCCATAGGCAAGCACCATGGTCTTGTAGCAGATGCGAGCTTCAACTGGAAGCCAGTGGAGTGTGCGGAGGAGCGGGGTGACGTGAGAGAACTTGGGAAGGTTGAACACCAGACGGGCAGCAGCGTTCTGGATGAGTTGTAGGGGTTTAATGGCACAGGCAGGGAGCCCAGCCAACAGCGAGTTGCAGTAATCCAGACGGGAGATGACAAGTGCCTGGGTTAGGACCTGTGCCGCTTCATGTGTAAGGTAGGGTCGTGAACCTACAGGATTGGGTCACCGCTTTGATGTTAGCAGAGAACGACAGGGTGTTGTCCAGGGTCACGCCAAGGTTCTTTGCACTCTGGGAGGAGGACACAATGGAGTTGTCAACCGTGATGGCGAGATCATGGAACGGGCAGTCCTTCCCCGGGAGGAAGAGCAGCTCCGTCTTGCCGAGGTTCAGCTTGAGGTGGTGATCCGACATCCACACTGATATGTCTGCCAGACATGCAGAGATGCGATTCGCCACCTGGTTATCAGAAGGGGGAAAGGAGAAGATTAATTGTGTGTCGTCTGTGTAGCAATGATAGGAGAGACCATGTGAGGATATGACAGAGCGAAGTGACTTGCTGTATAGAGAGAATAGGAGAGGGCCTAGGACTGAGCCCTGGGGGACACCAGTGGTGAGAGAACGTGGTGCGGAGACAGATTCTCGCCACGCCACCTGGTAGGAACGACCTGTCAGGTAGGACGCAATCCAAGAGTGAGCCGCGCCGGAGATGCCCAACTCGGAGAGAGTGGAGAGGAGGATCTGATGGTTCACAGTATCAAAGGCAGCAGATAGATCTAGAAGGATGAGAGCAGAGGAGAGAGAGTTAGCTTTAGCAGTGCTGAGAGCCTCCGTGACACAGAGAAGAGCAGTCTCAGTTGAATGACCAGTCTTGAAACCTGACTGGTTTGGATCAAGAAGGTCATTCTGTGAGAGATAGCAGGAGAGTTGGCTATAGACGGCATGCTCAAGAGTTCTGGAGAGAAAAGAAAGAAGGGATACTGGTCTGTAGTTGTTGACATCGGAGGGATCGAGTGTAGGTTTTTTGAGGAGGGGTGCAACTCTCGCTTTCTTGAAGATGGAAGGGACATAGCCAGCGGACTAGTATGAGTTGATGAGCGAGGTGAGGTAAGGGAGAAGGTCTCCGGAAATGGTCTGGAGAAGAGAGGAGGGGATAGGGTCAAGCAGGCAGGTTGTTGGGCGGCCGGCCGTCACAAGTCGCAAGATTTCATCTGGAGAGAGAGGGGAGAAAGAAGTCAAATCATAGGGTAGGGCAGTGTGAGCAGGACCAGCAGTGTCATTTGACTTAACAAACAAGGATCGGATGTCGTCAACCTTCTTTTCAAAATGGTTGAAGAAATCATCCACAGAGAGCGAGGAGGGAGGGGGGAGGAGGAGGAGGATTCAGCAGGGAGGAGAAGGTGGCAAAGAGCTTCCTAGGGTTAGATGCAGAGGCTTGAAATGTAGAGTGGTAGAATGTGGCTTTAGCAGCAGAAACTGAGAAAGAGAATGTAGAGAGGAGGGAGTGGAAAGATGATAGGTCCGCAGGGAGTCTAGTTTTCTTCAATTTCCACTCGGCTGCCCGGAGCCCTGTTCTGTGAGCTCGCAAAGAATCGTCAAGCCACGGAGCAGGAGGGGAGGACCGAGCCGGCCGGGAGGATAGGGGACATAGAGAGTCAAAAGATTCAGAGAGGGAGGAGAGGAGGGTTGAGGAGGCAGAATGAGGAGATTGGAGGGAGAAGGATTTAGCAGAGGGAAGAGATTATAGGATGGAAGAGGAGAGAGTAGCGGGAGAGAGAGAGCGAAGGTTGCGACGGCACATTACCATCTGAGTAGGGGCAGAGTGAGTAGTGTTGGAGGAGAGCGAGAGAGAAAAGGATACGAAGTAGTGGTCGGAGACTTGGAGGGGAGTTGCAGTGAGATTAGTAGAAGAACAGCATCTAGTAAAGATGAGGTCAAGCGTATTGCCTGCCTTATGAGTAGGGGGGGACGGTGTGAGGTTGAGGTCAAAAGAGGAAAGGAGTGGAAAGAAGGAGGCAGAGAGAAATGAGTCAAAGGCAGACGTAGGGAGGTTAAAGTCACCCAGAACTGTGAGGGGTGAGCCATCCTCAGGAAAGGAACTTATCAAGGCGTCAAGCTCATTGATGAACTCTCCAAGGGAACCTGGAGGGTGATAAATGACAAGGATGTTAAGCTTGAATGGGCTAGTGACTGTGACAGCATGGAATTCAAATGAGGAGATAGACAGATGGGTCAGGGGGAAAAGAGAGAATGTCCACTTGGGAGAGATGAGGATTCCTGTGCCACCGCCGCGCTGACCAGATGCTCTCGGGGTATGCGAGAACACATGATCAGACGAGGAAAGAGTAGTAGGAGTAGCATTGTTTTCTGTGGTAATCCATGTTTCCGTCAGCGCCAAGAAGTCGAGGGACTGGAGGGTGGCATAGGCTGAGATGAACTCTGCCTTGTTGGCCGCAGAACGGCAGTTCCAGAGGCTACCGGAGACCTGGAACTCCACGTGGGTCGTGCGCGCAGGGACCACCTGATTAGAGTGGCAGCAACTACGCCGTGTGAAGCGTTTGTATGGCCTGTGCGTAGAGGAGAGAACAGGGATAGACAGACACATAGTTGACAGGCTACAGAAAAGGCTACAATAATGCAAAGGAGATCGGAATGAAATTAACTAAGCATCTGGGAAAGCGAGAGAGCGGGGCCTCCCTCACTTACTTTTCACTGAAACACTCAAATATAACTCTCCCAACTTCCATTTTAGAATTTATAATTGTTGTAAACTACAGCAGTTCAATGTTTCTAGGAATAGACTCTAACTTAGTTTATTCAGCTAGCTAATTTGGTACACCGAATCATATGACGCCAAAGCCAACTAGCATGCCAGCCTCCAATAACACGGTTTAGCACCAATACTCGGTTCCAACAAACCACCAGTGTGTTAACACGCCAAGCAGATCATTTGTATCCGTGTCTAACGTTGTGTAACATTTTGGGGTAGTTTTGACAGTTTGAGTGAGTACGTCGTCAACTTATTCAGCCAGTTAGTTAGCTAGAATAGTTAGCATACTAGCTAGCCATTGCTCTCTGCCAACGAACTAACCCCTCCTCCCATGGCACGAACACACAGAGAGCCAAGCTAACGTTAGCTAGTCACCCATGTCCCGAATTCCCTTGAACGACTCTGGTTACCAGTATGTAAAAACAAAACAAAAATAAATGTAGGTTATAGCTTACCCTTAGTAGCTACTGTTAGCCAGTTAAGTGCAAAGCTAGCCACTGAATCGATTCAGCATGTTCGCATCTGTCCCAACGGAGAGAAAGCGTCTCCAAATATTAATGCTAGGTCGTTCCAGCTATTGTTTAGTTAGCTATCCAGGTAGCTACATTTTGAGTACTGTAGCTACTAACTACCTAACGTTAACGCTTCAGATAATGAGGTTAGAAAAACAGCTGAATGGTAGGTAGCTAGCTGGCATAATTACAGGTACTCTTAAGCGTGGAATAACATTGGAAACAACTATCCACAGTTGCTAATAGTTACCAGTAGCTACCCGCTAGCTAGCTAGCTTTATTGGTCCAGGTAGTGAGTTAGCTAGCCTTGTGCTTCACCGGGCTCAGTGAATACAATACTTACCTACAATAACTAAATAATATATGCCATTTAGCAGACGCTTTTAGCCAAAGCGACTTACAGTCATGCGTGCATAAATTTTTGTGTATGGGTGGTCCCGGGGATCGAACCCACTACCTTGGCGTTACAAGCGCCGTGCTCTACCAGCTGAGCTGCAGAGGACCACAGATAAACTACCTACACTACCTAGATAAACTACCTACAATACCTAACTACAATACC